CAGTTTTTGAAAATCATCAGCTGGGAGGACGAAGGAAATGTAGATGAATGCTGTCACTGAAAGGAGAGTTGGTACCTAAATTAGAGCCTTCAGGCTCTTAGGCTTTCAGCTCTGCTACTGAAATGTGAGTTCAGCTCTTACGTCGTTTTTCTTTGTGACAGACCTTTTAGCGTATGGGATCTTGGAACCAACTAACGCAGAAGTTGTTTAATTGGTATTTAGTGGACTTGGAAGCAAATTGAATATCAAATGGGCAGTCAGGAAGTGATATGGGGATCTAAAAGTAGAGCACAGGGAAATCATGACATGTTTGCAGAGAGCACTTGGAATTACTGCAGTGAAAGACATTGGGATATAGGTTACAGAACTGCAACCCCTTCACTTCCCCACAAAACAGCAACCAGGGTTGCTTAATTCTGTTACAGAGTAAATTGCCGTATCTTTATCTATCTTCCCTGTGAACCACTACTACATCTGGATGTATCTAGTGCCAATTTTAAAAATTAACTTCAGTAGAAATTGCTTCAGAGATGAGTTTATTCCAATTTACATTGATGTCATTGCTTCTTGGTTCACCTGTTTCTTCCTCTCATCCCCTCTTAAAGAAAAAAATAATAATTTTCAGTCCCCCAAAATGCCTTTTAGCATGTCTTTGAATATTGAGCAGTTGAAAAGCATTTTTTAAATATTTTTCTGTGTCATTTAAAAAGCTAAACTACTCTATTTTCTTGCTATTGTGGATATGCTTTGTATCAGTGTTTCCAGCTGTTTCCAACATTTCAAATCTGTGGTTTGAAACTTAAACCATGTCTATTGCTTCACAAAGCTATGTGTGCATGACAAGTATGGTTAACTGTTCTGTGTCAAGCTTTGTGTTAAAAAGTCTTTCAATCAAAATGAGACTTCAGAAATAGTTATGGTTTTAAACAGATTGTTGTAACGTAAAGTGGCTCTGGATGTGTTTGGGATGCCTAGGTCAGTAAGAATTTTGCTTAAAGATAATCTGTAATTTTTTATTACAGGCATTCCTTCATAATGCTTAATTTCATTAACTGACTTTCTTGGAGAATAGCAAAACCTTCACATTCTGCACCTTATATATGGATTTTAAAATTCACTTATATAGAGCTGTTCAGCCTAGTAAATACTCTATACAAATTAAGCTGGTCTTGAGTTGATACTTTTATTTCGTTGTTCTCCTCTCAAATCAATGTATTGGACTTGCAGAACAGTACACTGTGACAATATTTTTAGGTTTAAACAATTATAGATAATTAGAATGGTAAATGTCATGAGGTACAAGTGTTGGTGAAATATGTTTTTAATTATTACTTTGTGTCATATTTCATCCCTTGAAGTCAGCAATACCCTCAAGATGCTTTATCCCATTTATGGAACTTTTCCACTCCCTAGTAATTGTGTGTAATTAATACCTTGCTAAGAAGTTGGAATTGCTTCATCTTGTCCTAATACCATTTGTTGCCCATATATTTAAAATTACAAATTAGTTTTATTTAAAATTAAAGCAAGATATTCCGAAGGTGAACTTTCCTAAAACTTTCTCTTCCATTCTAAGGCAAAAGAAAAATCTTTTTTTTTTTTTTTTTTAAATGTGTGTGTTATAGGTGTTACTAGAAAATAGTTTGCATTCTACCTGAAGAATTTCCTCAGAAGGAAAATATTTTGGTAATAAATAATTGGGATCCAAAGTTACTAGCCCATTGCTAGTTTCATGGGGGATTTATCTCTGAGTCTCTGTACTTGAGAGATTTGGTGGTTCTTTAGTTCCTTATTTAGTTCTTGTATAATTTTCTTTAGTAATCTGAAAGAAGTCCTCTTTATATTTTTAGGCTCTTTTTTATCTCATTGTTTTTATTTTGTTTGGATACTCAAAGCAATTGAAAACTGCTGTACAGAAGTGTAAAGCTTAAATTAATTTTCTTTCTAGATGAGTTGTATAAAAGGATCTTCTTTTTGATTGCAGTCATGAAAATCTACAAAGACAAAAGTTATTAATTTAACATAAGAATGACAACTATAATTTTTCTAAGACCTTTCTGTATATTAATAATATTATTCGAATGTATAATGGTCATGAATTTATTGAACTTTAGTGATGCATTATAAAACAAGAATAGAAAATAAGAATTTTCTTTTTTTATTAAAATTCTTCAGGAAATGAAGAAAATTAGCAAGTTATATTTCAGCACTCTCACTCAGATCTTCTTTAACCACTTTAGACTTTTGCATTCTTGACAATTTTGAATTCTTAGATCTCAGAGGCAATGCACTTTTCCCTAAACATTTTCTGATTAGTTTTGATTTAAACTATTTCCAAGAAATGGTTTTAATGAATGTATTTTGGGAGAGTTTGCGGTTGCTTTGGGGGAAAACTCTGAAAGAGAATTCAGAGCTACATACTTTTTCTTTACAAACAATATAAAAAACCAAATCCTCTATATTAGGTATTGGGCATTTAGAATCTCCGTTAACTCCAAGGTAGACATTTAAGAGTGAAATGAAATGTCTATATTCCCTTTAGAACATTTTTGTTTAAAAAGCCTTGGTACCAGGGAATGGAAGTTTTGCAATGCCCATTTTTAAAAAAAAAAAAAAAAAAAAAAATTTTCTCCAGGAAGAATTTATGAATTATTAAGCGTGATATCTGAACTGCATAGACTGTCACATATTCTTCTAGGCACTGGAATTTGTGGACACCTGGTTAAATCTGACGTACTGGAAGGGTTATTTCAGCTTTTGTAACGGTAAGCTGCCTTGCGAAGTTACTTGTAATCAGCAGACTTGTTTAAGGTTAATGAAGCTGATATGGTCTACGTGGATTTTCATAAGCTATTTGACTGCAGCATTTACTCTTTCATAAACTGAACAGTTTTGGAATAATAGGGAACAGCCCCGCATGAATCAATTATTTCTTGAAAGATAAGAGACAGGATAGGCATTCATGATCAGTTTTCGTAGGAGAAAATCACCAGTGCAGTTTTGTAAAGACCTGTAAAGGGTCTTTGGGGCCCTATGCAGTTCAATGTATTTATAATTAATTTGGAACAGGAAGTGTCACCTGGCGAGACTCAGTTTTTAGTATAGCTTTTTTAATAGAACCTAACTCAGAAAGGTTGCAGAAGGATCTTAGGAGACTGGGTATTTAAAATGAAAGATTAAATTCAGTGTAGAATGTAAATATGCTGTTCACAAAGGGGGATTAATTCTCATCGTGTATGTGAAATGATGGAAACTCATGTGACTATTGCTACTGACAAGTGAGATCTAGGCTTATGAAGTCTGATTTTAAGAAAATGTTAGCTAATGGCTCAGTCATGATTAATGGCAAATCAAACATTAAGAATAAATAAAGAAGGCAAGGAAAGGAAACTGGCAGTAAGAACATTATTGTGCCATTGTGTAAATCTTGTTTCTTTGATACTATGTACAGTTCTAATTTATCTATCTCAGGAAGGATATAATAGAACTGGAAATGCTTTAGAGAAGGGTAAAAGAGTTAATCAAAGCTACGGAGTAGCTTCCACACATGGAATGACTGAATGAATTTTGGACTCTTATCTGTGGAAAGAGATAACTGAGAAGAGATACAAAGGAGCCCTAAGAAGGGCAGGGAAGGAGGCTTTGCTCTCCCTTTTCTATCAAGATAGCAATGGGTAAGAGATGAAAAGAGCTAATATCAGTTTCAAAACAAAGAAAATAAAGGGGATTTTGTATTGCAATATAAAGTTGAAACGGTGACACTTTGTGATGCAAGGTGCTATAAGCCTATCTCTGCTCAAATAGGAGCTGGGTAAATTCAGGGCTCATGTAATTCATTGAGGACTGTTAAGATGTTTACTTCTGGTTCAGCTTCCCTCAGGGACTTCTTAATTCAGGGGTTTCCTAAGCCAGGATAATAGCTTTATAGGAGTTCAGGAAACTCCTATAACAAGATGTGATTGCTGATGTCATATGTGATTACATATCTTTGACTATCCATTGCTGACCTCCACTGTTGTCCACACCAGGACATTGGACTAGGTAGCTTGTAATCTTAGCAAGTGCATCCATTCTTATGAAAGACTCTGGCTTCAATTCTCAGTCCTAGTTACATGTAATTCATGTTTCTGGGCTGATAATTTAGCAATATGAAAATAAACTAGAATCTGCCTATCTTAATCAGGCCAAGGCATTCTGAGGTAGTCCTCTCCGATAAGGCCGCATTTCCTGCTTTGGGACCTAACTATACTTTGGCTCAAGAGAGATTCTGATCCCTAACTAGCCTTCAAATATTGGAATTCTTATAATCACTAACTATAGGAAAACAAACTGCTTAGGGTATTTTGAGAGAAGAATGCCTTTTCTAGTTGACTGAAGGATGGAAAAACTTTTGTGCAGTGGTTTTTTTTTTTTTTTTTTTTTTTTTTTAAACCTAGGACGTTTACGGTGCAGCATAGAACCTTGCTGTTTTGTGTGTAAATAACTGGAGAAAAATGTAGCAGAAGCATATAGGGAACATGGAAATTCTCAGTGAATATCCTCCTTTTCTGATGCTTAAAAAAAACAAAATAGACAAAGCATTTGAAGAAAATACCATGCTTCTGCTGTTAAGAGTGCAGAGAACAAGCTAATATTTTTTTTTCACTAGTTTGATTTCCTTTAGTGAGGCCTCAGTTCCACCAACAATTTTTCATAAATATAACTTCTTATTGATTTAATCAAGCTCATAAAGTTGTAGCAAGATACTGGCAGCACCTAATTAGATTCTTTTATAATTTTAAACTGTTTATTTAATCGCATACAATTTTGCTGAGTAGCTAGAATTAGGCATAAGCTTTTTGGAAGGGTTTTATTTCTGATCCATTCTGAACCTACAACACGCACTGTTCTGGACAGGATTGTTGAGAAGTAAGATTTGATTAATGAAAGAAGTGTTTTATTACTTAAAAGTGTATTTTTTAAGAGTGACTAAAATATTTATTCTTTTTTAATAACAACAGTGTACTGACCATGACCTGGACTATGGAACTGAATGTTTGCATCTAGCTCTGAAATACTGTAAAATAAAGGCCAAACTTATTGAAGGAACAGCTGACCTCTGGAAGGTAAAGACAGTATGAATCTCTACTTTTTGTATGCTTATTTTAAATGAACAAAAGTAGCATGCCAGCTAAATTTCATCTAACCATAAACATTGTAAACTGTCTTAAATTGTGATACTTATGCTTTTCTCTTCCAAATTTCAAAATTTTGAATATACAAGAATGTTTTATAACAATTAAGAGACCAGCTTTCCTGGTATAAATGCTTAGTTGCTCAAAGAACTAACGCTTATGCTTTCAGGAGCTGGAGAAAGAGAGGGTTCTTCCAACCTCTGCCATCTAATCAACATTCTTCATGCAGACTGGTAGTAGTAGTAGTTTTACTGTCTTGAAGTTGAAAACCCATTAAAGATCCGAGCATGGGTTAAGGACAGCCGAATGCTTTGCAGCATTCAGTGCTAGGCCATGTAGTAAGGAGACAGTAGGGTCTGCTAGGGTAGGTTATAATCCTTCAGAATTAGGGAGGGAAGCTAGGTCTATCTGAACAGGGTACTTTTGAAGAATTCCTGTTACAAGTTGATTGTTTCATACTGCTTGCAGTACTGTAAATGCAACTTTTATGCATAGTAACAAAAGAAGCAGTAACTACTTTTTGGAAAATTATTTTAAAGTAGAAATATAGGGCTGAATCTAGAATTTAACATGTGGAGAGATTCCATTTTAATGCATTTTAGTTCAGCTGGTATCTAGTAATGACTGTGGAACTAATATTCTCTTAAATCCATGCTTGCAGTTGGAGGCCATATTACAGGAGTAAATTTCTGTAAAAGTGTGGATTGAGTGTGACAGCAGTTCAGCGTTTTTGTTTGGGTTTATAGCTAAAACAAGAAAAGTATCTGTCCCAAAATCTAATGCTATATTCTAACTAGTGGGGCAGGGGAGAAGGGAAATAAATACATACATACATACAGTAGAGTGAGATGAAAAAACTGTGCCCCTGTACTGTACATCTGTTCCTGCCTCTGCCATTGTCCATTGAATGAGTTTAGGTAGAGTATTTTGCCTTTTTAACCTCTGCATAACCATAAAATAATGACTAATCCCCTGATAAATCACCTTCCAGAAGCAGGATTGTCTTTCCATAGATATATTAGATTTACACAGCTTAGCATGTAATTTGTATATATACTTTTAAACTTCTTTTGTAAGACTTTTCAATGCTGAGATTAATAGCATTATATATGCCAAGAGTTAATGTGGTCCCAGTGGTCTCAGTCTTCTTTTTTCAGCACAGGGGGAAAAAGTACTCCAACTGAAATAAGACCTGAAATAAGTAATCATGCTTCGAAGGTCCCTTGAGTTTTCAGAGTATGTGTAACAGAAAAAAGTTGCAATTAACAGAGAACAATTTCTAAAGTCCCAGTGTAACATTTTCTGTCTTTCATTGATGTTAAGTTTTGCCTTTCCTCCACAAAAAAAGTGCGTATGTGCACCAGTGAGACCCTCTGCTATTTTTCTAGTATTTTTTTCCTGAATAAATCAGCTTCATTTGACTTCCTTTTCCTCAAGATATGCATCAAATGATTACCTTAGTATGGCAAGTATTCATGTATCGGTATAATTCAGATGATGCCTACATATGGTCAAAATTATAAATTAAAGTTGACTTGGAAAACATTGTACGTGTTTACTTTCTAAAATTTTAGGATATTAGAATTTCTTTCAAAATCCTAATATTATACCAACAATTGATCTTCATCTGCTATCCCTTTGGAGATGTTCGGGTCAAATTTAAAGTCCTTACCTGGTCTGCTATATTCAATCAATAATTATTATCCCTTTCCAATAACTGATGCTGAAAGATGCTGCTGAAAGATAAGAGCAACACACTCTTAAATCCTACCATTTGAAAGCATCATTAATACAGATCTAAAATCTTAAGGTTAGTCATGTAAAGCTCTGTTGTTTTAAAAAAAAAAAAAAAAAAAAAATCCTGTATGGACCTTGAATCTTCAGAGAGCAGACCTACTGTTTGAAATATTCTCTTTAGATATTAGGTGTACAAGCCACATAACATAAAATGACTTATTGTATGTGTATATATTGTTTTCTTGATTTATCTCTAATTATTCTACCTGACTGCTGCCTATTCCTAGTATGTAGAAGGAGTAACGTTTCCAAAAAAAACTGCTCACCGTCAAAGTTTAAGAAAGTAAGAGGTGATTTATTTACTTTCTGGTGTCAAATTACAAAGTTGAAATCATTCTTCATAGAGACAACAATGAGGTAGGGACAATGACTTGTGTTTTAAATATTTATAAGTGCTATTACATAATTTTAACTATTTGTAATATATTTAGGATCAGGTTGGCAAAAAAGGAAACAGTGACATTGTCAACACATTATCTGTTTCTCTATTCTCTACACCTTTGAAACAAAATGGTCTTGAATGCTGTAGGGCAACATCCTCTTAAAAAAGTACAGAATCATGAAACAGAATACAATTGGTGAATCCTAATTTTTATGTGTGTATACATGTATGTATATGTGTGTATATATGTATATCGCGTTTGTATATATATATATGTATATAATGGAGGCAAAAACTTTATTTTAATATGGTTTTACGAAGATTGATAAGCATTTAAAGACTTATACTGATAGTACAAAATATCCTTGCCATTTCTGTAAGTCACAGATTATTTTCACATCCTAAAAAAAAATCCGATACAAAGGGGATCTGCATGAGATCTTAGTATAACAGAGGGAAATATGTCATTAAACTAAAATGTAGTGCATTTTGTAAATGTGTGATTATAACTTCGTTGTGCTTGTTTGGAAAAAGTGGTATAAAATATAAAGCAGTAAGTTATGCTTCACATTTAAGAGAGTTTTGTAAATCTGAAATTTATTTACTGTATATTCAATATATAAATACTATATATAATATATAAAAATTATAGATTATATTACATAATATATAATATTTATATATTTTGTCTATAACATTTAAACTATGTCTTTTATATTATCATATATAATATTATCTATATTATATAATATACATATTATTATAAGTTCATAATTAAACTAAAGTTTTTCTTTCACGGTTGCCTGCCTTTTGAATAAGTCTAATTGCAAGAACATCATCTACTCAACATGAGAAAATCCACATGATGAGAGAGTTGTTATGAATGACCATACCATAACAGAAACTTTGATTGGATTTAGTATGTTATTCAACATCAGGAGAGATGGAGAGAATCCCTCCCTCCCTCCCTGACTGATATGTAGCAGCCACCTGTGGTGGCTTACAGGGTTTTTTTTCTCTGTCCAGTTTACTATTTTCATAAAGCTTTTAGGAGCTTGTTTCTGAAATTTCTAACCCTCTGTCAAAATAGGTTGAAATTAGTGTATAGGCTCAAAGGCTACGAAGGAAATAAGTATGGATGTTTTGATGTTATCTCACGTTATTTATTTTTGTAGGAAATCAGCCTAAAACATATTTTCTAATATCTGCCTCTGAATCTCAGAACTGATTTTAAGGCTTCCTTCTTAATCTTTATGTGCTGGGTACCTGTTCTTTCCTTCTATCAAGGAAGAATCTTTAAGACAGTATTGCTAAGTAGTGATTTGACATCTTATTTGCTAAAAGTTCCACATGACAAATTTTGAGCCTCTTTGTTCTCCTAGGATTGCAACACAAGATATGTTAATAATTATTTGAAGCGATCTTTGGGGTTCTGATAATTTGTAGAACTTATCTTTTCAGACACCTACGACTGTGAGTGTTCTCAATACTCATCCCCGCAGCCGTGATTTCATTCGTAGTATTTGAACAAGGATAGAAACTGTGCAAACATCCACCAGTTAGAAGAGCAAAAGGAATGATGGGGGCGGGGGGAAACCATGATACTTGACACAACAGCTGTGTCCATCAAGTTTTCAGTGCGGTCTTTTGGAATTGTCTGGGTGGAAGTTAGGGACCATAGAAAAAAATTGAAAAAGCATATCCTGCTGCCAGAAGTCTTTTGGTTAGTGAGTTATCTCAGATGCAGAGAGAAAAGAGCAATGATAAAATGTTTGAGAACAGAAGCATCAGTGTATAAGTTTAATGTTACGAGATTACTGTCCTTGCACATGCAGAGAATCACAGCTTTAAGAAAGCTGGTAGTTGAGTATTCTTCCCTTAAAATGCATATAGTTTTGTCTCTCTCAAGGCATGCTGCAAATTCACAAATGTGAAGCCTTCTGCAATGGCTAAAGTCACAGATACACGTACTGTTCAGTGAAAATGTCCCTGAACAACTGTGCATAAAAAACCTGTGCAACAACCGCAGTAAATAACGCATCTTGAAGGCTGAGCCTACTTTATGAAGTAATTTCTTTTTAAAATCAGAATATTAACAGTATTTTTGTGCCTCAAAGTACTGTCAACCTGAGAATACATAAGACCATTTTTCACAGATCAAAGGTAGTCTTGTTTCTTGAAAGGTGTTCAGGTGGTAGTATGTCATAGATTTGCTGAATGTTCAGTGTTGAGGCACTGTAGAAATAGGTAATTAGAAAGCAATCTTGCAACAAAACTGGTCACTCAATATTTATTTATCCTTGCAATTATCTGCAAGTCATTGATTTTGCTCAACAGAATGTGAACTTAGGCAGGTGCACTTTCTGAGGCTTGATTCTTTCTCTGGCTTTCCCTCCTGCAGGACAAACCATAGATGTAAGCTAGGGGAAAGGATTGATGAGAAAGGCAGAATTATTCATCTCAGTGTGACTACAATATAAAACTTAATTTGAGATGGAAAGGAAAGCAGTAATTAGAGTCCTTATGGTAAAATCAAGTAATAAGTTACGTGGAGACGAAACAAAATGCTAATATGTAAATAGTATACTTCAGCTGTAAGATTTACTTTGCAAGACTAAAGCTTTTGGAATACTATTCATTCCATTTCCAAAACATATAGCAGAAAAAAAGTTATTCAGAGCCGAATATAGAATATTCATATGGAAACAATGCAGAAAATTCAGTAATGTTTTATTTAACATAGCAAGAAGCTATAGTAGCAGGAAAGACAAATATTTAGTAGTTATCAGTTTATAATGACTGCACGTCATTATAAAACAGCAAGTTTGAAGGACATAACTAGCAAAGGCTGTTGGTGTCTTGGCTATTTTTTGTTTTACATAGTTTTCTATGCAAAGACTAATACTGTGATTGTCAACCACTGTGATGGTACAAAGGCAAATAGGAAAGATGTTTTCTAAAAGTACCAGGTACCAATATTCAGCAGCTTATTGTCCATTTAACTTGATTTATGTCTTCGAGAAGATCTTGCTGGTGTTCAACTCTCTGAATGCTCATACAAAGTCTACTGTAGTCTCTAGACTGACTCTCACTGATTAGTTGACCTCTCATTAACAATAACAGTCTTACACTGCTTGAATAAGTGCACCTATATTACTACTGGAAATAACTAGGTGTCTGCCTGCTTGTGTTTATGATTACAATTTCTTTCAAACATTCATCTTTTTCATGATAAAATTACAGAGTAGAAATATTGTTTCTTAAGAACTTATGGAAATCTGTGAAAATCGGTGTGATATATTTTTAATGAGCATTTAAAGGGTTAAGGATAGGTTTAAAATGAGTTCTAAGCAGACCTAAGTATTAAAAAAAAAAAAAAAAATTCTTTGGAGTCTCCAGTAATTTCTACAACCTCTGTTCTCATGATTTGCCAGTGATATTTTACCATGATGAAGAAATTGACAATATCATTTGTTTATGGTATTTCAAATGTAAAGAATTACCTTCAGGGCATTATTTTATTGGTTTTACATTCCGGTAAGATCTAATGAGGTTTATCTGTCCTTTAGGTGACCTACAAGCGGGATCTGTATGCAGCTGAATCAATTATTAAGGGTATGTGTTCATCCTTGTGGCTGTCAGTTTGCATATTCCTGAGTGTAATTTAGAATTTTGTGTTCTCTTGTTTTAAATGCCTTTAAGAAAAGTTTTATGATGGCTAAAATATGCTGTTATTGTTTTAATTGTTTTCTGGGATACTTATTTTATATTATGCATTATTTACCTTACATGATTTACTTTACTCCTCTTAAAAGAGAAAACCGTATAAAAAGCTGTGTATATGACAGAGTCAAATAGAGATTAATTTTGAAGGAATAAACACATTCTTGTTTCTTAGTTCCTGTTCAGTTCTGAATATGCTGCAGCTTTCTAATCTTAAGTAGTAGACTGAAAGGTATGTATTAACTTTTAAGGGCTCTTTACCTTCTTATATACAGTGGCTTGTTACCTGAATTGATATAGCAATGATACGTTGAAGTATTCCGTTACTTTTTATAAATACTGTGTTGAACTGTGTTTTAACCTTTTGCTATACTAACATGGTGGTTTAATAGCAGTCTGAAAAGAAACGATCTGGAAAGAAATAAATCTTAAGTACCATATGTTGAACAGTCTGGTTATTCTAAAATGATAGGCACTGATTTGGGGGACTTTTGCTTGAGTCCTTATTGAGAATTGGGAGATAAAAGTCCAGAAACAGATGAATAGAAAGAGACTTTTCTTTGGGTTAAAAATATCTTTTCAGGGAAAAGAGTTAGTGGGTACCTGTTTAAGAAAAACAGAGTGAAAACCATGTCCTATTAGAGCATTGATGAATGACCAGCTAATTGTTTACTTTAGTGGTTCATTTGTTGTTATAAGATTCAGTATCAGTTTAGCTTCTTATTTGGGTAAATTAGTCAATGCTGAGCTCAGCGCTGTCACGCTAGACAAGCTAGCTAGCTTAAACATAGCTGAGATCTCGCTGTGATGGTTCTACGCACTTCTTGGCTGCTTTGCTTAATTTTTTTTAGATCTAATTCTAGTAGTCTGAGATACAGAATTGCAGGAATAGAACTAGTCGGAAGCTTCTAGTTGCTACAGTGAACAAATATTGCATATTATAATATATGAATTGGTATAACTACATTACTCAGTGTTTTGGTAGCCTGTCATGGAGAAAGGATCCTGGAAACCTCAAGACGTTCTGTTTTTAATTAGGAATTGGCTTTTGTCTCCATAGTTGGCAGCCTAGAATTCCTGAAAACCTTGTTCTGAGTAGGAATCTTGGAGGTTCCCAGAATCCTATATCTTTCACACTTAGGATTTCCAAAGATATTAAAGACAAGAAGGTGACTGGGAGTAGTCAGCAGGGATTTGTGAAAGGGAAATCACATCTGACCAACCTGATAGCCTTCTACAATGAAATGACTAGCTCAGTAGATGAGGGAAGAGCAGTGGATATTGTTTATCTTGATTTCAGCAAGGCTTTCAATAACATCTCCCATAAAATCCTCATTGATAAGCTGATGAAGTACAGACTAGGAAAGTGGAGAGTGAGCTGGATTAAAAAGTGGCTGAACTGCTGGGCTCAACGAATTGTGAGATGTAACACAAAGTCCAGTCACTAGTGGGGCCCTCCGGGGTTGATACTGAGGCCAATACTGTTTAACCTCTTCATGAATGACCTGGTTGATGGGACAGCACACCCTCAGCAAGTCTGCAGATGACATAAAATTGGGAGGAGTGGTTAATGCACCAAATGGTTGTGCTGCCATTCAGGGGCCATGACAGCTTGGAGGAATGGGCAGAGAGGAACATCAAGAAGTTCAACAAGGGAAAGTGCAAAGTCTTGCCCCTGAGGAAAAATAACTTCAGGCACCAGTACAGGCTGTGGGCCAACTAACTGGAAAGCAGCCTTGCAGAAAAGGACCTGGGGTTTCCGGTGGACATGTTGGCCATGAGCCAGCAATGCGCCCTTTTGGCAAAGAAGGCCAGCAGTGTCCTGGGCTGCATGAGTTCGAGAGAGGTGATCCTTCCTCTCTGCTCAGCGCTGGAGTGCTGGGTCCAGCTCTGGACTTCCCAGGGTAAGAGAGACATGGATATACTAGAGCAAGTCCAGCAAAGGCCACAAAAACCATTATGGGATTGGAGCATCTGACATAGCCTTGTACCCTCAGAGGCTGAGAGCGCTCGATTGTTTAGCTTGAGGAAGAGATGGCTCAGGAGGATCTTACCAATGTATATGAATGCCTGATGGAGGAAGTAAAGAAGACAGAGCCAGACTCTTCTCAGTGGTATCCAGCAAAGGGACAAGAGAGAACGGGCACAAATTGAAACACAGGAATTCCATTTAAACATCTGGAAAGCCTGGACATTCTTAAGGTTCTCAGGTTTTCTATCACAAAGGTGGGAGGCTGGAAGGGACACTGTCTGTCCTTGGTTTCCTAGGAATAATTCACTCAGCTGAGACTGTCAGTATACATGTCTTGAAAGCCAGGGGTATGAATACCACATTTAGTCAGCAATTATTAAATTATTTAGTTATTACTACATTAATACTTTCTGGATAGTATTTTTAACTTTTTCTAGCTTATGGGAAGCTTTGAAAGTGGGGGTCTGGTCTGACTTGAACTAGAAAAAAATATTTCAAAAAATGTAGTTTTCCTAATTTATCCACTTATTTTTGAACAGTTATAGATCCTATTGGATATTTACGAACTTGATGGAAGCAGAATTCTTTCTGCCATTAACAGTTTCTTCCCAAATAAGATCTAGATAAGAAGTTCTTGATCTGACTCTATGATTATCGAAGTAGTTAATTAGTGATGTTCTGAAATTCATGGTTCTTGGAAAAGTTCATAGTATTTTCATTTAATTTTAGATGATCTTTCCTTGGATAAAACAGTTCAGCTTGAATATAAATTTTAAAAGCTCATATGTTGTAGTTATTCTTGTCATGTGAGCAAAATGGCTGATATGATAAAAACCAATAATTAATAAAATACATCAGTGACGTCATGTTACAATATGATTCAAAATCAAGCAGTGATTTTTTTTATCTCCTTGATGAATAGGAACCTGAATTTAGTATATTTTTTTAATACTTCAGTTGAAGATAAAAAAGGGAAGTCTGTAATCTTTGAGAAGGGCAAAAGTAATTATATAATAAGATTAAGGGTTTTTTTTCTAGTCTAAATATAGATCCCATTCCACGGGTCATTATGCATATCCTTAACTAATCATCTGACTGGAGCTTACCCGATGATCTGACTTGTCCCGTTGACTTAACTTCTGTGTTTACAATCAAGTAAATACATAGCTTTTTGCAGAGTCAGTACCAAACTAGATTGGTAGTTTAACTTTTAAAACATCTTCTGAGACCCATCAGAGGCCAGTTTTATTTCTTCTAGCAGTATGCAGATCTGGCAGTATCTCGATGATAGGAGTTCTCACTGAATTCCTAATTCTAAAATAATGAACTCTTGCTCTAACAGTACAGATTCTGTCTAAATTTGAAGCGTTGTCTGTAGTTTTATGTATAAGGAGAGACTTTCAAAGAACAGTTCCTTCTGGTGGTAATGTTAATAAGGAAATGCATAAACATGATGCAGCCATCTGGATATGCTATTTTGTTACAATAATTATATAAATAGAATTGATCAATGTACTTCTGTCATTCAAGCTTGCTGAGGCCAGTCATGCCAGTATAAAATGATGTAAATGCCAAGAATCAGCTTGGAGGAACAGAGAAGCAGCCACTGCAAGATCAGTAGCCACGCATCTTTTCTCTCTAGGGTTTCACTAACAGCCTCTGGAGAGAGGAAGGGCCTTCTGCTGATTCTGACCAGTCTAAAGAGGTGAACTTGGCTAGGAGACATCCCCCATGAGTAATAATAGAGGATGATAGTTCCTTTTTGTAACAGGTTTTTGAAGAGGACACCTGGACTGAGATGCAATGTTGTGCACCATATAGTACAGCGATAGTTGGGTGGATTCAGACTCAGGTCACCTAGAGTGCCTGAAGCAGCAGTACTGCAGGATGCTGTAAAGCTAGGATGCCAGATACCACTGCTCAGCATGCCAGCTGGCATGCTGTCAAGGTGCTCTGGAAGAGTCTCAAAAGCTAAATAATGTGAACAGACAGGGCGTTAGGTTACTGAGGGCACTGTCGAAGTTGCACTGGCTCCCCACTACTGATTAAGTCTTCACAACTGATTTCTTTATTAGCACATAATCACATTTACTTTTCTGGATGCATATTTTATTGATGGATGTACTTAGGAATGTGATGAAGAACACTTCATGTTATCTACAGTTAAATTTATTAGCGAACCAAACTGATTTCCTTCAACTTCAGACACTGTCAGTTATCTTTTCCCTTAACCACTTTATTTAGTTAGAAAATCTATTTATTTGTTTTGAAGAGAGTCATTCAGCTGGATGTTCACTTTGTGCTTATAAACTGTATTTTTTTCCTTTTGAATTATGAGTTTAATTCAACTGCTCTTTTAATATTCTAGCATACAAAAATATGTATTTAGATTATACTTGTGCCTGTGGACAGTTTTGCCTATGAACTTCTGGCTCATTTTTACATGTTACTTTGCTATGCTGTTTATTTTTGAGGTACAGTTGCATTTGTGTAGTTTCTCCATGTTTTAAATTGCAAATATGTAATTAATCAAATTAAATACACGAAAAATGATTATGGTAATAAAATGATGTTTGACAAAAGTACAGTTCGTCATTTGATTGTAATTATGAGATTGTGTCTTTAGTCAGCTACATTACAAATGTAATTCTACATACGTAACAAGTCCCAAATGTTTCATAGAAGCACAGCTGGATTTTTAACTGCTGGCCTAATGAGGCTTATTAAAAGGTAGATTTTAGCTTGCTAAACTTGACTCAGATATAGGTGAGAAAAACATACATACATACATACGTGTGTGTGTGTATCACTCGTACTCAAGGCAATGTAAAGAAACTTCATAGTGTAGAAAGACTGATGAGTTATTTATCTTCTGAAACTGTTTTCTTAAAACATGACTTATTAATTTCCTTAGTTCCTC